GGCATATCGGGTTTAAATAATTTACTGAAAAAAAGCCATTATAGAATATTAGAAACTGAAGATTTTATAAATATCTTAGTTGAATCACTCTTTTTTTTAATGAAACTGTTTATAGACCATTTCAAACATAAACAAAAATGAAGAGGAGACTAGTATCATGAATCCTTATTTACCTAACACTAATTCAACTATGATTAATTTATGGTCAACCTTGTTTCACCTTTATCCCCACTCTCAGATAACTGTTTCATCCCAAAACATTTCAAAACCAATCTCTAAGAAATATGACTTTTTAAAATAATAATAATAATAATAATAATAATAATAATACCATTGTACCTAACAAATTAACAATAATCTCTTAATACCATAAAATATCTGGTGAGCATTCAACATTTCCCCAATTGTTTCATAACTTCTCTACTTGTCTCCAAAATCTTTTTAATTTGAAGTTTCCCCTTCTTCTTTTTTTTTTGTTCTTGTACCTTTGTATCAACACCTGATTTTTACCCTGATGTTGGTTACATGACTAGGAATTTTTCCGGAATTGTACTTGAGGACATTTTGAATTAAGACTTCAAACTCTTGTCTTTTGTTGGAAAATACATGTGACCACACTAATGGAAGTGGTCCTTTCTTTTTAAAATAATTTATCCTGTTAATAAATAAAAGCCAGATAATATGTCTTATAAAGTTTCCCATATTCTAGATTTTTCTGAATGCATCCTAATGGTGTCATTTTATATAGTCATTTTACATAGTTCCCTGTATTTCCTTTAACCAGGTAGATAATATTTTTTTTAAGATTTTTTTTATAAAGATTTATTTATTTATTTATTTATTTATACTTTTTAAAGATTTATTTATTTATTTATACAAGCACTGGGTACAATCAGAAGTGCGGGAGGGTGAGAGAATTCACCAGAGCCAGAGCAGGGCGCAGAATAGGCAGAAGGACCGAAGTACACCGCTGAGGGGAGCAGCGGGCGGCAGGAGAGGTCTGTGCGCCATGTGGGATCCTCGCCAGGCGGCTGGGAATCGAACTGGCGCTGCAGAGGCTGCGGGCAGCTTCGCAACCCAGCTCTCAACCGCTGTGCCACTGGAGAGGCCCACCAGGTAGATAATATTAATAGAAACTTCATCAGATTCGAGTTCAATTTTTTTGGCAAGAATGTTGACAATGATTAGTTCTTTTTTGGTATGAGAACTCCCTCTTATAAAAAGAGGAATTAAATTGAAGCTTCAATGTAGTTAAGTGGATCAGATAGATTGGAGTCAAGAACAAAACCTCTCAGGCTTTTGTTTATTAGATCTCTATTCCTTTCATTACACAAAATATTTAACTACTTGCTAAGGGATTATAATATAAGTACTCAAATAATAGGGGTATTACATGACATAGGGGCCTAACACTCACAAAATTACCTAAATCATAAAACCAAAAGTCATCCTAGACTTTTCCACTTCTCTTACTTTTACTAAATCCTATAAATTTTGTATATTTAATATCTCTCTCATTTATTTCCATCTCCAGTGCTACTGTTTTAGTTCCGACCTTTATCATTCATTGCTTTCCTAGGCCGCTAAAACAGCTGCTTGAATCTTCCCTCTTCCATAAAATTTTTTTCTTCTGCAACCCAGTTAAATTTAATTAACAGAAAGCTCTTCCAAATTGCAAATATAAATATATTTCTCCTTTAAGCACTTGGTATCTTCTCATTTTGATGATGGCGTTCATATGCCTCCCTAAAACTTACATCCCCCTCCATATTTAATTCTTACCTACCTGAGCACGCTCATCTGTCACTACTTCACTCACTATATTCTAATCTTCTGTATCATTGAAGCTTTCCAAATGTGCCAGCAAGGATCATAGACAGACTTCACTTTGGTTGTTAGATTCCTTTATTTACTACTTGTTCTAGCCAGGGCATCACTGTGCCTCACTTACCTATGGAACGGGAATATACTCATAGATTTGTTTTCAATGTGTGAAAGGGATGAGTAAAATAACACTAGTAAAGAATTAGTATGCAAGCACTCAGCAAATACTAGATGTTGTCATCATGTTATTTGTACCCTTCCATAGTCTTTAAGCCCTTTCCTCTTCTTTCCATAACCTCTTCCTATTCCAATGTGAGGGTCCTAGTTCTATTGCTCTTTGTCATTTAAATGAAACAACCCAAATGCCCCAAAATAGATGACTGGATCAAGAAGATGTGGTACATATACACAATGGAATATTACTCAGCAATCAAAAAAGATAAACTCATGCCTTTCGCAGCAATGTGGATGGAGCTAGAAGGAATTATGCTCAGTGAAATAAGCCAGAAGGAAAAAGAAAAATATCAGATGGTTTCACTTATAGCAGGAATATAGGGGAACCAAATAAGACATCAGTATAAAACAAATAATAATAACAGTACAAAACACAACAAAGCAAAAACAGACAATTACAAATCAGAGACACACTGCAGGGGAGGAGGAGGGAGAGGGATCAGAGGGAGGGAGGGAGGAGAACAAGGGACTGTGATGATGGTGCACGGGTGCCTTGGGGAAGGAAATTCTATGGGATATCAACCTGAGGGGGTGGGGGAAGCAAATATTGTTTAAAAATTAAAAAAATTATGTATTGTGAAAGGTTAATGTCAAATAAAAAATAATAAAAAAAAATAAACCTCCCTCAACATTTCTAAATCCTGTTGATATTTGGGGTGTTATGCCCTAAGACTACATGAATGTCTCTACACAACTGTGAATTTTAAAGACAGGGGCCAGAATTTTGTTGGCTCCCCATGTTGTGAGGCACTGTCTTTCCACTGTACTGGCTCATTGGAAAGAGTAGTCATTCAAGATTTGCTTTTTTTAAAGATTTATTATTTATGCATACAAGAACTGGGGTGTAAGCCGGAGGTACGGGTGGTGAGAGGATTCACCAGAGAGAGTGGGAAGCAGAACAGGCAGATATACTGAAATACACTGCTGAAAGGAACAGTGGGAGAGACAGGAGAGGTCTGCTGCGCCATGAGAGTTGCTCCCTAGCCAGCTGGGGATGGAACTAGTGCTATAGCGGCTGGCAGTAGCTTGATAGTGTTGTCTTTACCCCTGCACCACCAGGGAGGCCCTCAAGATTTGATAAATGGAAAAAAAAAATTGATGGGGTTTAGATACTCATCGACCTCTCTTATATGAATCTATATTTTCTTTTTTTTTTTTAAAGATCTATTTATGTATACAAGAGCTGGGGTGTAGGCCAGAGGTGCAAGGGGTGATAGGATTCACAGAGACAGAGTGGGGAGCAGAACAGGCAAATTGACTGAAATGCACTGCTGAGGGGAGCAGTGGGTGAGACAGGAGAGGTCTGATGCGCCATTTGGTTTAGCTCCCTCGCTAGGGATCGAACTCATGCTGCAGTGGCTGCCCATAGCTTCATAATGCTGAGACTAACCCCATGCACCACCAGGGAAGCCTAGAGTCTTTATTTTCCAAGCAACATTTCTGAATTAAAAGGTGTTTTATGCAAAGCATCTAACAGGTTGACGGGACACACACATTTTTTTTTTTTTTTTTTTTTTTTTTTTTTTTAAAATTTTTTTTTATTTGTTTATTGTTGTTTTCTCAGATAGACTTCACAACTGGAGGGAGAATAAAATGACAAAAGAATGAACCGGCGCTGCAGAAGCTGGGGGCAGCTTTGCAATCCAGCGCTCAACCGCTGCGCCACCGGGAGGCCAGTCTGTTGCACAACTGAATGACAAAGATAAGCTAAATTTCCCTTTGCCAATGAGAAAGTGAATCTTTTAATTTATCCTTTGTGTTTGGATTTCATCAATCATTTCAGTAACAACAGATCATCCTTGCCAGCTTCAGTCAAACTTTTCTAAAACCATACAAAAACAAAGTTTTATATGGAAATGAACAGAGAAGAGGCAAAGAGAAACACAAGAAAATAAAATGCTGTGATTTCATTTGTATAAGAAGAGACCATGTAAATATACAGCCTAAAGAAGTTTATTTTACAGGGCCTCCCTGGTGGCGCAGCGGTTGAGCGCTGGGCTGCAAAGCTGCCGGCGGCCTCTGCAGCTCCAGTTCTATCCCTGGCTGCTCCCTGGCCACCGGAGGAGGGTCCCACATGGCGCGCAGACCTCTCCTGCCGCCCGCTGCTCCCCTCAGCAGTGTACTTCAGTCCTTCTGCCTGCTCTGCTCCCTGCTCTGGCTCTGGTGAATTCTCTCACCCTCCCACTCTTCTGACTGTACCCAGTGCTTGTATGTATAAATAAATAAAAAATAAATCTTAAAAAAAAAGGAGTTTATTTTACAAAACAAAAATTAAAAACTACCTCTCAGTAGTATAATCCTCAAAAGTTCTGGCTTTTATATTCAGCAAATATTTTACCAAACATATCTAATACATCCTGACTGATTTCATTATATCAATTTTAATGAGTCACTGAAAAAAATATAATTATACATATTTCAGAAAAATATTGGACAATTGATATTAAAATTAATTATTCTTCAGCTTCCTTTATTATTTAGTTTCTTAACTTCAGTATTTATTAAACTAAAAATATAGCTTTGTGTCTAAGAACTACATTTTTTTTCCTTTCATCATAGTGAAAATTTATGTAATCATGAAATTTTAAATGGCTCAATCTTTTGCTATTTGCTTTCATTCAAATTCAGTATATTATTACATATATTCAGAACTCAAAACTATTCATCTTCATCTCACCCTTCAATTAAATTCCACAATGCACAACTCTTGGCACTAGAACCACGTTTCATGTTTATTCAAGCAAGCTTGTGTCTTGAAAAATGTTGCAGTTTGGGGGTTTTCTGGTGCAAATCCACATTCTGACATCACCTTGGCAGTTACAATGATTGGCTGTTAGAAGGCAAAGAAGAGTTTATAGCCAGCAAGAGCAAGTGAATGAGTGAGTGAGAGCAGAGGAAATATTCAATCTGTGTCACTCACTCCTGTCAGCCTTCCTTCTCACGCTAGGACTGCAAAAGGGTAAGATTTAATATGAAAACTTTATTACCTTAAAAGCAAACACTCCATATTTTATATCTGTGGACTTTGTTTTGAAATTTTTACTTAAATATTGATGTTATTGCAGTGTGGATAAAAGCTACATAATTTAACACTTGTGTATCATTAAATTAGTACCTGATATTTTAGATTCTTTCTAAAAGGCTAAAGCTTGTTAACTAACCTATGCATGCAAATTTTTAATATTATGCAATGCACTAGAAGATTATGATTCCCACTTTCCATCTCTACACCTTTTAGATTTCTGTTTATTTCCTTATTTTTATGCATTCAATATAATCTGTCTCTATGTAAAACTATTTTTATAATCTGCCTCTATATATGTAGATTTCTCCATAAATTATGCTTAATCTGTCCTACTAAATCTATTTTCAATATGTTATACATTTGGTTTCAAAGCATTAATAGCTCTAAAATTAGTATGGAAAAATACATAGTACTAGAGAATTAAATAATGTTGGTAGTTTATCATACGCTCCCCAATGAAAACATAATTAGATTCTCAAAACTATCCTGTAAGAATGTTTGAATTGTACTCTGGGTTAATAGTGGTCACCGTAGAGGTTTTTACTTTTGATGAATCACAAAGTAAATAAAATGAGATTTAAAATGAGTCAATTGCTGCCTCCGTGAATCATTTGGTTCTTTTTATATTACTCTGCCATGTTTTCATTTTGTTGTTTTTGTGGTTTGTTATGAAAAATTTGTGTAATCAAAACTCTTTCTACTGTTCTATAATTTAAGTTTTTCCTCTTTAAGATATAAATATTCCAACTTTTCATTAAGCTGCAAAACAATAATTCTGTTTGCTGGAGGGCTCGACCATGGGTGGCAAAATTCAAAATATTATTCAGAGATTCCCCCAATAGCAACAAAACTTTCTTAAACATAGGGACTTCCTCAGGGGCAGTACTCTTTTTTTAAATTTATTTTAAAATTTTATTTATTTTTTATTTTAAAATTTATTATTTTATTGTTTTACAACACTGTATATGATTCAGAGGTATGGAATCATACCTATTTAGGTGTATATTACCATACCAAACCCACCAACAAGGCATTTCTTTTCTCAAATAGCCATCAAGAACTTTTATTGAAGTAGAGAGGATGGTGAGCAAGTAAAGGCATCAAAATCAACCAGTCTGCCACAAACAGAATGTGACTAGAACCCAGAACAGCTTGTCTGGGCCTTAAGACTTGCTCTGTGCAATGTTTATTTTAGTGTCTGATGCTCAATAAGGACACAATAAATTTTGGTTAGTAATGACAAAACAAAAAACCAACCTTTAAGGTACAATATATGACATCAGTTTCATACATTTCAAATATTACTTTTCAAATGTGTTTATGGAGAAATTGTCATCACTATTACATATCACTTCTAAAATGTTGCCAAAGCTGTCACTCTGTGATAAAGCACTCTCATCAATTGTGTGTCAGTGTTAAGTGGGTGGGTGTGAGTAGGCTTTCAGCTAAGTTTATTTTAGCCTATAAAATAGGATTTGATCAAATGGGCTAAAATAAAATAGGATAAGCTTTCACTGTCTCTTTCCTTTACCTTATGAATTATCTATGTGGAACTGTGGTTTTTGACTGGTTGCAAACACCAGGTATTTATATAATATTCTCACTCTGAGAATCGTATCTTCAGTTCATCCACAGAATTTAAGTGTCCATCATACCTATTACCTAGAACCCTTGGTCCATCCAATGATAATCTCCCACAATGATAATGGAAAGTTTAAATAGAACTGTAGAACGACCTAATTGGAGAAATTAGAATTAGAATGAACAGATCATATAACTACACTAACAATTTCATTGATTTAGCTGGTATTTCTAAGTTGATTATAGGGGACTTCCTCAATCCAATGTGAAGTGCACTACGTGTTCAAGTCCCTTGCAGTGATGAAATGGTCTTCCAATGACAGATCATTTAAATAGGGGTAAAGTGAGGATTCTACCACTTAAAATAGAAAAATTTAAAGCAACAGCAGAAATTTGGTCTTCTTAATCAAAAGTATTTGGAAAGAAATGAAAACAGATTAAATACTTTGTTGTTTACTATGAGCAACAATGTTACTCTCTTAGTGTTAATATTCTTTAACTACCATACTATTTCATTTATTCCAGAAGCAATCACCAAAATGAAGACTGCTTTAATTTTGCTCAGTATTTTGGGAGTGGCCTGTGCTTTCTCAGTAAGTTTCTTTATTAAAAATGTGTTTTTATTTCTGATTTTGTCTTTTTTATGTAAAAGAGAGAATATATAATAATTAAATGCTCTTTTAAACAGATGAAAAATTTGTATAGAAGAGCCAAACTACAAGATTCTGAAGAAAATGGGGTAATTAATTTTAGATACTTCTTTGGCCCGACTACACTTACTCTAGACTTAGTGCGTATTAAACATTGTCATTTATTTTGTTTACGTAGGTTTTTAAATACTGGCCACGATATTCTCTTTACAAGCATGCCTATTTTTATCCTCCGCTAAAACGATTTCCAGTGCAGGTAAGTATAAAATTAATTTTTCTTCTCATCCATTACAATTTAAAAGGGATTAAATTTAATTTCAATTAATCACCCAATTCAAATCTCACCAAAATTCATGGAAAGACTACTTATTATAAAAAGTTTGTATTTAATATAATAAGATTTAATGTTCACTTAGGTTCTCTTTTAAAACAGATATACAAACACACAGAGTCAAATCATTTGGGTCCAGTCTAGAATGACATAAGAAAATGAAATACCGTGCCATATTGAATTCAGTTTTATTGGCTAAATCACTGACAAAAAGTGAGACATAAAATAAGATGAGACCATTAATCATCTTGTTATGATTAATCAAACTCTGATACAACTGTTCTACATTCAGTAATTTAGTCCTTTAAATGATAGGAGAAAAATTGATTTCAAAACGAACACAGACCATTTTATTTTTTTAATATTTATTTTATTTACTTATGCATACAAGAAATGGGGTGTAGGCCAGAGGTGTGGGGGGTGAGAGGATTCACAAGAGACAGAGTGGGGAACAGAACAGGTGGAGCTACTGAGATACCCTGCTGAGGTGAGCAGCAGGCAAGGTAGGAGAGTTCTGCTGTGCCATGTGGGTCAGCTCCCTGGCCAGGATTGAACTCATGCCTCAGTGGCTAGCGATAGCTTGAAAGTGCTGAGACTTAACACTTGCGTCACCAGGGAGGCATAACAGAGACCATTAAAAAAATATATTGATAATTAATGGTGAAAGACAAAGATTTTCTGCATGTTTGACCTGTACAGTTTGCTAACACAATATGTCATACATTGGAATATAATTCTGAAGGAAATGTGATGCAAGAACTGCAGAACAAAAAGAGGAATTCATAAGCTAAGAAACTAGTCAGAAAAACAAAACATCCTTAAAATTTGTAAACAACAAGGAAAATAAATACTGAAAATACAAGTTTCTGGTTTTCTGGGTTACTTGTGAAGAGGGTCTTTGAAAACTTGAGGTTATGGTATTAATTTTAAAATACAGCAAACCAGAATTGCTCTATTTTTATTACTATACAGTTTAGGTTCAGGGCACCAATTATGTATCATTTGACCTAGAACTCCCGAGACACTTGAGGCAGTCATAATGCTGAAATGATGCCTTAGTGCAGTGGCTTGGCCAGCAGCCTGCCAAATGTTGGGCTGACCCATCTCTAACTCATACAGTGATAGGAAATGATAATCTTAAAGTATTTTTAGCACCATAATAATTACAGGGAATGTGTGTGGCCACAGAAATATAAGCACAAATGATACAGGAGTTGTGGTTTTTCAGAATTGTCTTCTACTCTTTGGTTCACCTCAGACCCATAAATAGTGTTCATTTAAAACTCTGCTTTCTTAAACTAAATGGAAATGATAATAAATTTGCATTTCTAATTAGCTCCCCAGCTTTCCTGAAATATCATGTACTTAGACATCTTCCCATCCAGAAATCTATGTGTGTGTGTGTGTGTATAATCTGATTTAAATGCCCAAAGTGAAAACACAAGGTGTGGTTATATATTTCATTATTGGAAGACTCAAAATTCATAGATTGTTAAATAGATCTTTAATTTCTACAATTCTGCAGAATGTGTGACTGTAGTATTTGTAAGTAAGATAGTTGTTTTAAAATAGAATCCAATAAAATGTGTCTCTTGATCTAAGAGTTTGATGTATGATTTATTCTCCCACTTTACAAAATTTGGATTACAAAATTTAGATATATAATATCTATATAATATTTATATGTTTTCCATACTATTATTTTTTATTTAAAAATAATAAAGAACTTTGGCAAACACATAAGTAGATATACAAGTCTATTAAGTCTTAGTGCCTCTATTTGGACTTAAGCCTATCAATTACTTAATGCCTCGATTATCATCCAAACATACATTAAGTTGTATTGGCTTAGAAATTCATGCATTATTCAAACAAATCTGTGTTTATATATAATCATTTTTATTTTTTTAAATAAAAATAGTCATTTTTATTTATTTAGTTATGCATACAAGAACAGGGGTACAGGCAAGAGGTGTGGGGTGGGGAGACAAAGTGGGGTGCAGAACAGGTAGATCTACTGAAATACACTGTTGAGGGGAACAGAGGGCAAGACAGAAGAGGTCTTCTGTGCCCATAATCATTTTGAAATATCAACATTCATGAAAGATGTTTCATTGACTGCAATTTTATCAGTCTATTTTAGCTTATCTGTCTGCTTGGTTATAGAAATGCAAGTATAAGTAAGTTTAACATATGAGGCATTTTAAATTGAATACATTGCTTTTTATGATTCAAACAATATTTGGTGTGTGAACTCTTAGAAAGTAAAAATTTTATAAAGTTTATTTTGTTTATATTGAAATAAGCCAGCTTTATCTCTGTCATCACAGTGCTTAACACCCAGAAACTGCCCATATTTCCAAATCCACTTCTTGTTACAACATACATTCTCAATACAATGCCTGAATGAAATAGAGATTTTGTGGTTGAATTAATTGAATGAGATAAGTTGGAAAAAGTAATAGTTTATATATATATATATATATATATACACACACTCACATATATGTGTATATATGAGAGACTTTCAGAAGAATCAGTAAAATTTAGTGACAAATCAGTAATAAGGCATAAATGAAAAAGGAAAATACTAAAAGAGACAATACTAAAATTTCAAGCTATTTCATGCAGTTTTATACTAATTGATGATATGAATTGAAGAATGATGTTGTTGAGACAGTAAGAAGGCAGGACACTTGTAAAATAACTAAAACCTCTTACAGACAAAAATGTAAAAATATGCTGTCCTCTATAGATAGTTGAGCCAACAAATAAAAAGAGTATATTATATATATATTTATGAAATATTTACATTTTATATATCACATATAAACATATAAACATAATATAAATATATATTTATAGAAATATCTAAGTATATACTATTATACTTATTCTCCCTCTGGGCTAGGGAAGGTACAACCATTGAGGGCATAGTAATGAAGAACAGGTCTAATTGTTCTCTTTTGCACCTGAGGGGACAAAGCATTCCCTTTCTTGGGTAAATGAAGTGACCCCCTGAAGAAGAGCCCAATAGGGACTGCCCTGGGCAAGACCCGGGCTGGGGCCTGAATCTTTCCTCAAATCTAATCTTGTGAATGTGAAGGTTTGTTCTCTAAGATCCAGGTTTCTTAAATGGGTCATCAGAATCACAGAATTCACAGGGCAGAAAGTGACAGAATCTTCAGTGGAGCATCCATTTAGATATCTAGAGCCATTAGGGTTGGTTACAGAAAAAGAAGGAAATGAGTTTGTGTGTATTTTATCTTATCTCAAAGGTGATTTCCTTTGCTATTAATATAGGCTTATATTTGTATGAATTCATGTTTATTTTTTAGAGCAGTAGTGACTCATCTGAAGAAAATGGAGATGGTGACAGCTCTGATGAGGAAGAAGAAGAGGTAAGGAATTTATGCTATTTTTTTTTTTCATAATAAACCAGGCAGCACCACAAACTAACAGGAAATTAATTTACTGTAGTGTTTACTAGTAAGTAGCCATTTCTAATTTAAAGTCCCTCACATTCTTCTATTTTGGACTAGTGGAATATTATTTAAATTAGAATTGACTAAAATGACCTGTTCAACATACTGCTGTAGTGTGGGCTAAGGTTACCTACAAATGACACACAAAACCAAAATAAAACCATTTTAAATGGAAGTGTGAATTCTGATAAAAAGAAATTATTGTTTATATTCAGGTGGGTGGATCATGATCATAAAAGACAAATTCAAAATAATCCAAAATTTAATGTGATATTTGCTTTAAGGTTTGAACTTAAAAAATGTCAATGTACTAAGTGGATAGTTTATGAAAGCCAAGCTTATATCATTTACAGTATTATTGTGATTCATCTGCCTTTCTTGACCCATCAAGGAGCACTGCTCTTTTTAATGGACATTTCCTGTCTTTATTTGTTTGATAATGAAATTCATATTTTTCCAGAAATGTAAATACTCAAGATGTACAAATACCTTCCTGTACAATACTACAAACTAATGTAACTCATGGCTTAAAATCCACCTATATATCTTGGAAATTACACTAACATGTTTATAACTAACATTCTTGTCCAAGGAAACATACTAATTAGGCACATTTTCCTGTATAGTCAATTATAGCTATCCACTGGTTTGGTAACCTTCTAAATTCAGGTATTCTTTGGTACTATTTATGAATGGACTATGACAGTCAAAAATAAATTAGGGATAAAGGTCTGCTATCTTGAAAACAAAACCATGTGGGGGTTTTAAAAGTGACAAATCATTAACTTGAATTTTTTTAGACTGTAATAGTAACATTTCTGGTACCATAATTTACCCCCATAATCCTTTAAAGAAGGACTTACAAGAATATCAAACCAGTACCAAGAAAAATGCCACCTACTAAATCCCACAAAATGTTGCCTGGAGTTCTACATGGTATTCTTCACAAGAATGAAGAATAATCCATTAAACTACAGCTGTTTGCTGTCCAATGATTATAAAATTGACTTGCCACTTCGATTTCCCAGTTAGATGGCATCAGCTCCTCGTTTGTTGTAAAAATGCTTGGGGGTGGAGGAAGAGTAGGACTCCTTTTACATGCTGAAGAAAACACACACTCAAAATTTTGCCAATGGCATCTCAATATTTATGGTGCTCCTAGAAGTTATCTGCAAAACACTAAGACCCAGGCACTTAGAGACTGCAGGTTACACTTCCTATGTTGAGGAGGAAATGTCCTGAGCATGCTTCTGTATCTCGTCATCCTGCCTCTCTCAGTTTCTTAAGCATATATTGTGCCCAGCAAATGTTTGGTGGTTACGTTTTGAAACTTCAGAGGAGTATATACTCCAAAGACCACTCAATAAAAGTGATCTTTAAAAGTAGATGAATAAAACAAAAAGTCTTCTATTCTGCAGGAGTGTTAGAGCCTTGTTTTTCTTCATTTCTTCCCTAAATTTTTATTGGCAATTCAGGTTAAATACAGAATCCCCAGGAATTGTATTCACATGAGAAGGTGCTTATGCATATTATCTACTTGTGATTATACTTTTTTTCCACTCTTAAATTATTTAGCCTCATTAGAAAAAAACTTTTATTGAGAAAAAACTTTTATTGAAATATAATACATAAAGCACAATTATCATAAGTACACAGATCATTAAAGTTTCAGAAGTTGAATAATAAGTGTAACTAACACCCATAGCAAATATTTCATTATGTGAATTTACTACCAATGTATTATTCTTCTGCTGATGGGCACTTGGGTATTTTCTAAGTTTGCATTATAATAGAGTGCTGCTATAAACATTCTAATAACCCTTCCCATGAATGCATACTTTCATTTCAGGAGGCCATTTTACTATTGATAGAAGTTAAATTTCTAAGTTAAAAGATATGTATATGTCCAAGCTAATTGATACACCCAAACAGCTTCCCAGTGCAAGTGCACTAATATAAACTCCCACCACCAATATATGAGGGTTCCAGTTGCTCTTCATTCACACCAACACTTAATATCTTCCAATCAGTTAAGCAGTCTAGTGGATTAATAATATTTCTTGAAGTACAAATAATTTCTTACTCTTCTATTCCATTTGCAACCTAGTATCCATCAACAGATGATCATTTTCCTTTTAAACTCAGTGCAGCAGGACATCCTTAAATAAAGTATCTAAGAAAAGAAAGGATGTTATTGGAGGAAACAGAAATCTATGAGCAGAGAGTTTGGTTCTTTAGTTAAGATCCTGACACTATTAAGCTACTATCTGTTTAACTTCATATAAGACATTAATTCCTGGACCTCTCCTGGTGGCACAGGAGGTTGAGTGCAGCACTGTGAAGCTGTCTGCAGCTTCTGCAGCGCCGGGTCAATCCAGCTGGCCAACAAGGGTCCCACATGACTCGGCAGACCTCTCCTATCTTGTCCGATGCTCCCCTCAGCAGTGTATTTCGTCAGTCTACCTGTTCTGTTTCCCACTGTCTCTGGTGAATCCTCTCACCCTCCCACACATCTGGCCTGGACCCCAGTTCTTATAAATAAATAAATAAATCTTTTTAAAAAAAAAAGACATTAATTCCCTGGCACCTCAGATTTATACCTGTGAAGTGAGAACATAGGATGCAATTTTTATATTCCCCTACTCTAAAGATTTTTCCTTCTACTCTTGAAAGTTTTAGTCTGTTGGAATAAAGAATAAACACAGGAAATAATATAGACAGCATAGTATTGATGGGATATTTGGCACAAATAGCTGAATATTGTTTTGGATGGATTCTATTAGTCCCAAGAGTTCAATGAAATGAAGGGAATTTACATAAATGATGAAACAAATATATTCTTTAGTCATTTTGTTTTAGTAATAAGAGGATAAATCTGGGTTTTATTTGTTTGTAAGTCATAAAATATAAGATGCTTAATTAAAATTATACTAACACATACTCTCTTTAGAAATATATTGAAGTACATTCAGTTTTCCAGTACTCATTTAAAGTCAATAAATTCTATGTTTATAAATACATGACCTTTAATATTAGCTATGAATTACATTAGGAGACTAGCTCAATTAACAAACAATCGAATTGCCTAATATCATGGATTAAAACAAAAGAACGAAATGTTAAAGATTATAGTAATTATTCATTTGAGGCATGTTAACTTGTAAAACCATCTCCATGCAATAACATAACGATACAGATTCCTTGGAGTACTTACTTTCTTCATTGCATGAAAAATTGCCTCAAATTATTTAAATACTATATATAGCACAGAACTAACTTACATATTAGCAGTTTTTTTAATTGAGATAAAATTGTCAGAGAACACTTTGTATGAGTCAGAAGTATAGAATCCCAGCTCTTCAGCTCTCTGTCACCACATCACACCCACCACAAAGGCACTCCCCTCCCAAGACACCCATATTCCTCCACCATAGTTTATTGAATCCATTCACACTGTGCTCTTTGCTCTCCCCTTCCCTTGCTGGTAGCTTCAAATCTATGGTCAGATTTACAGGGTTTGTTTCTGTCTGATTTTTTTTTTTGATTTGGTTGTTTCTCTATGTCCCGCATATAATTGAAACCATCTAGTATTTTCCTTTTCTTCTTTTGACTTATCTTGCTTAGCTTTATCCCTTGCAGTTCCATCTGTGTTGTCTCCAATAGCAACAGTTCATCTTTTTTGAGGGGGTTTAGTAGTATTACATTTTATCTCTATGTACCACATCTTCTTAGTCCACTCAGTTGTCTTTGAACATTTAGGTAGATTCCACAATTTGTCTATTGTAAATAACATTGCCATGACCACAGTAATGCATATATACCTTTGAATTAGGGTTTAGCATTCTTGGGTAGATGCCTAGGACTGGAATTGCTGGATGATATGGAAGATCTATTTTTAATATGTTGAGAAACCTCCATACTATTCCCATAAGGGCTGAACCAGTCTTCATTCCCACCAAAAGCATACAAAATATCATTTTTTCCTTCACATCCTCAGCAGCACTTCTTGTTCCTGGTTTTTTTGATGCTGGCCATTCTCATACGAGTGGGATGATATCTCATCATGATTTTAATTTGCTTTTCCTGATAATAGTGATGATGAACATGTTATTTTTTTTTTTCTTCAAAATCTTCCTTTTAATTTTTTGGAGTAATACCCAGAAGTGAAATTGTTGGATCAAATGGTAAATATATTTTTAATTTTTTAGGAACCCCCACACTGTTTTTTACAGTTTTTACATTCCCACCAACAGTGTACAAGGGTTGTAATTTTTTATGTTTGCTCTACACTTATTTTTCCTGTTTTTATTCTTTTTTTTTTTTTTAATCTTAAATTTTATTTTTATATTCCCCCATACAATTGCAAACGCCCCATTCTGACCCCAATCCTTCCCCTCCCGCCCCCCACCCCCCAAAAAGTGTCTCTGGTTCATAGATTTTTGTTGATTTTGATTTTCACTTTCTTACAGTTATTCATTTTCCTGGTCCCTTATTTAAGTTTTCTAGATTCCTGCTATGAGTGAGACCATCCGGTATTTTTCTTTTTCTTTTTGGCTTATTTCGCTGAGCATGATCCCTTCCAGCGCCATCCATGTTGCTGCAAATTGCATGTGTTTATCTATTTTGAATGCTGAGTAATATTCCATGGTATATATGTACCACATCTTCTTGATCCAGTCATCTACTTTTGGGCATTTGGGTTGTTTCCAAAGCTTAGCTATTGTAAACAGTGCTGCTATAAACATAGGGGTGCAGGTGCTCTTTGGAATTGATGTTTCTGTGTCCTTTGGGTAAATACCTAGGAGTGGAATTGCTGGATCATATGGAAGCTCTATGTTTAGTAGGTCCAGAAATCTCCACACAGCTCTCCATAGTGGTTGGACCAGTTTGCACTCCCACCAACAGTGCACAAGAGT